CGTTAACATTGATGGCCAGTACGTTCTATTCTCGTGTGTTTTCTTCCTCTCCCTGTTGTTGTGGCCAGGTCAGGTCACTTCCGCCAAATGGGAAGCGTGAAATGGGAACCTGGATCTGGGTCTGGGACTGGGACTGGCCTTCAAATGCCCATTAACCGGATGGGGAGGAGCAGGTCATCCATCGATTGGTTTTCCCTTCGCCAAGTGCCCTACAGAATTACTCGGCCACATCATCATTCGGCATTACATCAGTCGGTGGGTTATTGCTGTTGGCTTAAAGGAATTATATCATCAGGTGGCTTGACAATTTAGTTTTAGTCATACCTCCCCAGGATTTAATTAATTTAAATTGTATACTTACGTGACAGATTATTTTAAGGGGGTTAGAGGTGTCTAAAAGTATGCAACAATATTTGTAAATTCAAAAATCGCTGCATACTTTTAGACACTTCAGAGGTGACTTCTGTAGAACCCGGTTATACTTGCTTAAATCACGGGTTTATCAATTCTAGCTTAATTTTCTAATAAATGATATTGAGATAATACTGAGCGCTGGAGAGTTTATTCAGTTGATTAAGAATAATGTATATTGTTTTTTAATAAACTGAAGATAATTCTTAAAATACATTAAAAAAAACTTTACCAACTTTGATAAAAAGCCCCTTTTGTTCAGGTATATCACTGAGCTGTGAGTTAAGTTAAGACAAATAACAAACGTAATCGGTTTCATAACCCTAAGTATCCCGAAGTGACCTTTAGCCCGGATCATTTTTTAGGCATGTCAACCGTTTCCATTCTTTAAGACCAAATTGTTTTGTCGTGTTCCCAGCTTATTTCCTTGCAGCTTAACATATTTTGAACGATTTTCGTTGGCTTTGTTTGGGCTTTCTTTTCGCTTGGTTTTAGTAGTTTTGAGGTCTCTGTCTGTATTTGGTCTTTTGTTTTTTGGCCGATTTTGTTTCTTTTTCGGACGTTTTTTTTTTTGTTTATGTGGTTTATTGCCCATGTTTGGAGCAGAGTGCATACCAAAACGCCAACGATAAATTTTTGAGACATTAAACTGCACTTTTGCAGACGCCGTCGGTTCCTCCTGTTGGTTTTGTTGTGGGAGCAATGGAATAAAAAGGAAAAACAACATCTGAAGTCAAAAGTCAACACGTTTGACATGGTCGACATGCAGACGTTACCATTGCGAATGCCGAAGAATATCTGGGGGCCCCCGAGCCGAATGCAGATGCAGATGCCGAATCGGCTAGGCCCATGGCCAACTCCGGGATCCTCCGATGCCTTCCTCCCTCGTATATACTATATATACACCGATATATATCTGTGTGCGAGCACCCTGGCCATATTTGAGTTCAATAGCGCTGGCAATTTCACAGATCGTGTCGATGATCATGTCGCAATCGGAACACTGCAAACCAAACAGCATCTCTCGAAGAGAACCCGGGATTTTAACCGACTCCGAGATACCTAAATAGGTTACAAAAACTGAACTACATTTTTGTTACAATCTTTACATTTGACCAAAGTTGGTTCGTAAAAAAATAAGTCACTTTATGAGTACTATATTTATCGATACATTTTCTAACAAAAATTCTACGGTTTCTTTCCGAAAGATAATGTTTCTTATTTTACTGCATACTTTTAGACACCTCGTTAAATGATTTCAAAACCCATCGTCTTTATTTTACCAGTCCATTCCTTAGAAATTAACTTTGCCAATAAGCACCTTATAAGTGCGTTAAAATATGTTTTGTAACCAAAAGTTCTACTGATTTATTCTGAAATACAAAGTTTTACTGCATACTTTTTGACACCACGAAAAGCGATTTCAAAAATCTCTTCATTTTTATATTACCAGTGCATTGCTTATAAATTTATTTCTGCTATAAGCACCTGACCCACTCGGGTATACCCAATAACTTTCGAATAATGGGTATGGGAATAAAAACGTAGCGAAACGAGACCGCACGACATGCGGCACATGCCCCCGGGCGAGGGCAGCTGTGAAAGAGACGGCTATATGGGTGGAGAAAGAGACGGGTGAGGCGCTAGTGAGTGAGTGAGTGAGTTCACAATGATGTCACCTTGGTGTTGTGCCGCTGATTGCCGATCATGGCCATTGTGGGCGGTGGCGATGACCACCCCGCCCACTCGGCGACAAGTTGTTGATTGGGGCTACAGTCGCTCTGTGATCTCACACCACTTTTTTTTGGATCACAGCATCCAATTGTTGTCTAATCCTTGGCCCAAATTCGAGGTAATAAAGGCTGACCCAATATCATTAATACTTTCACAATCGTTGAAGTCATATCTTGCTGGGGTTGATTTGTAAATAATTCCTTTATTTGTTGATTACTTTTCTTTTGGGTTAAAAGCAGGAAAAGTATAAATATTTACGACCTTAAAAGTAGGTTGGCCAAGAACCAATATATTTACCGGTTATATAGCATTCTTACCTTGTTTAAGATGCTTTAACTATACAAAGTACATCTCGAAATGGTAGCGATTTCGTATATATCACTCCCCACTCTTGGTCAAAACCCATATTCATAACCATAATTTTTGATTTCAATGCTCCGTATGAAGAGCAACTGTGGACCTGTTTTCGGGATCCATTCTCCACCGGCCGCTCCTCATTTGCATATCTAACTATTTTACCGCGAACTGCAGACTGTTGGCCGCAAAGTCCGCAAAAGAATCTGTCTGCCGGCCAACTGATAATAAAGTTTTTAATAGGAAATTGCTATTAACTTATTGATCATGGCATGGACAATGGTCCACGCGGGCAATTGTTGGGAATTTCAATTGAATTGTTCATCGCTCCCCCGAGTGCCCAGCGGCAAGTCGATTGTCTGGACCAACTCTCAGGCTCTTGTTTTTATTATTTACCCATTTCTTACGGATACACTAGGGAAAACATCAAGGTATTGGAAGGTAGCTGAACTAATTTGAACTAAATAGCTAAGGATACTAAATATCGTTCAAAACGTCAAAGTGAAACAACGACTTGGGAATTATAAGCTTATCTCTATGCAGTACAAAACAAGTGTTTTTTAATGGATCTTTGAATGATGGCTGTTTTCGAAATCACTTATAAAGGTGTTCAAAAGTATGCAATAATAACATTAAAAATATAAAGTTGTATACTTTTAAGCACTTTTTATAAGTGCTTACAAAACCCTTATGATTTCCGTGAATTCCGCAATGAACAAAGAGATATACGTTTTCAATTTGCTTTTTAGTAAGTAGAAATTATTAAGATCTTATGTTTCTTAAAGTGTAGGGTTAGCTGGACTGTGATTTTTTTGTTTGCCCGATTCTGCGCCTGCTTGCATAATATGGCCTGGCCCATAGATTTGTGATTCAATGGGGCATTTGAATGGTTCGGCCCCTCCATCCGCTCCCATCCGATATCCGATCAGCATGCATTTTTGGCGATAGCGCGTCATTTTGAGTTTATGTCAGAGTTGCCAAAAGGAGGGGGCTGGGCGGAAAAGCGACAGATACAGAGAGCCACTGGTTGCCATAAATGGCACAATATGTATAAATTTGTAAAAGTAATTGCAGTGCGGAGACAATGGCCCGGCCTAAGATCTTGACGCTGATGCTGATGCCTGCTGCTTCGGCTGCCTCGGCTGTTCCTGCCCCATGCCCCATGCCTCATGCCACAAAACTCCAACCGCTGACCATATTTGGAACGGCACTGCGACAGAGATGGCTGAGACCCCGAGTCTCGTGCGTGTTTTATGTCCAACTGCCAGCCATTTATACATTATAAAACTATATAAACACACAGATCGGCTGGGATGCGAAGCGATCCAATGCGACGAGGTTAACTCACTCCCCACGCACAGTGGGTCAGTATCTACGGAAATCTAATCTTAGGTTTAAAAACCAATACCGAAAATGGTATCATTCTGGTTTAAGCACAATTAAAATCATAACAAAAATATATATTTTGGTAAAATATTAACATGTATCAAAATAAAATATATATTTTCATATTATTATTCAATTAAATTTAAAAGTTACTTTTTCCTCTTTAAATTGCTTGTAAGGAACTTAAGGAACTTAAAATACTTGAAGATCTGGTATATTATAATATAGAACTATAAGGAACTTAAAAGACTTAAAGATCTACAATAATATTAAACTCAGCCAAAGATTGAGCCCTTTTCTAGTACTTTTGCCCCACTGTGCTTGGTGGATATGGGGTCTGTTAATTCGCTTTGGCCATTTTAGGAGGGCCGCAGAGCTCCATGACTTTGCCGTTGCTGCTGGCCTGCCATTGTCTCACATCTTCACCAAATAATTTCCATGCCTGCCCCTGTCTCTTTCATCTACACCTGAAAAAATGTGTTATAGCTATAATAATATCAAAACATATATCTTAATTCTAAACTTAAAAAAAGTGATTATCACATCATAGTATTAGTTATATTACATAATTATAGAAAATAAGATATTTGATAACAAAATATATGGGGGTTCCACACAAATGACTAGGGTGTCTAAAAGTATGCAGTGAATAAAAGAAGGTCTTCTTTCTGAATGAATTCATTGGTCTTCTGAGTTCAAAATACCTTGTTCCATATAAATTGGAGAGCTAAAACATTTTCTTACTGTGCACTTTACTGCATCTCCATTGATTTCCATTTCCATCTCTCATTGCAGGCCTGTGCACCGCGCTATGTGTTCCACACGATGACGCCATCGAAGGCGTTCCGCATTGATCCCGTGGGCACCTGCTTCACCTCGCACAACTTCGAGCAGTTCTACGAGGTCTCCCCCTGCCGGACAAGTGAGTAGTCGTATATCGGAGGGACCGGGTATCCCTGCCCGGGATTAACATTAACATTAACCCACACCACAGGCCTAATTCGACCTCCGATTCGGTGTGATTCTGTAATTCGAGCGGCAGGGAATCCCTTGAAAAGCGAAATTTAAACTGTCAGTCGCTGGCATTCCTTCGGCTTTTGTTGCTTCACTTTTTTTTCTCCTTAGCTTTAGTCTCTTTTTTTTTGGTAGTGCCCCAGTATCGAATAACGGCAACTTGAGGGAAAGTGAAAAGTGTCAAGAATGCTCGACAATCGGTTGGTGAACAATTGAGGTGACTGGAACAAGTTGCGGCATTAAATTTGATTTTTTGGGCAGATTGAAAAAGTATTTTCACTTTAAAAAAAAATGGAATTAAATTAGAGAAAATAATATTTCACATATCTTCGGCTTGAACCCAGACAAACCTACGTTTTTTTAGACATGTTGTACCTAATAGACAAAAAAATTAGTGTTAAATGATGATTCTTTCACTGTAAGAACCAAAAGAATTTAAATCAGTTAGAATTAAAAACAATTATTTTATAAACCTTGGATTTTAACTCGGACATACCCACCTTTTAATTAGCGGCATCTAGAAGAAATCCCTGATGGCATATAAAGTTTATTATTCGATCGTGATGGAAATAGAGCTTTCTGTAAAAATTGTAGTCTGCAGCTGTTTAAATGAACACATTCCACTTAGTTCCCCTTTTTTGAAGTTCACTAATTTTATCAACACATCTTAGCCCTAAGTGATTAATTCGTCGTCATTTGGAAACATAAACCAACAGCATTAGATTATATCGTAAACCTTTGCGACCCAGAATATCTCCACCCACCTGGATCCAATGAAAGATTTATGCGACTTGACAGCCAACAAATACGGACCGACGAAAACTTGAAAAACATATCCATTCTGTGTAGTTTGTAGTGCTCCCATGTTCGTATATCTAAAAATATTTAATTTGATGTTCAAAGTTTTATTTTCTTCGTTGTGATGCATTTGTTTTTCCTGCTTTTACCTCACATTACTTTCCCTTCTTTTCTGGTTATTCAGTGTTTTTCTTTTTTTGCCTTTGGGACAGCCTGCCAAATTTGTTTGGTTAGTCATCGCTTTATACCGACTATATCTAGGTCTATATAAAAATGGGCGTACATATAAAACCGAGCACACATGGGGCATTCGCGTCCTTCTCCTCCGCAAAGTTTGGAGAAGGTGTGATTATTTTTAGCCTCGCCTCGCAGATGCAAAGCATTCAACTTACGTATGTATGTACATCTGCATATATCTTTCGGATTTTTAAGGAGCTATATCCGTATAGATGTGTGTTTACGTATTAGTCTTTCTATATGGGGGCTGGCATATGGCCATTAGTTGGGGTTGTGACTCTTGAACTAGTTTATCATACGGAAGAATTGCTTTTGCTTTTGCTCATTTATTGCTTGTTTGCTTATTGGTTCGTGGAATGGCTAAGGAAATTATGGCAATGTAGATTGAATTTGCTTTAAATCTCTGAGTCAATTGAAGTGGCTGTAATAAACTGATTCATTCTGGAAAATATTTCAAACATTTTGGGTTGTAAAATCCTAATGAGGTTTTTTGTTCTGCGGATAGTTCAAATTGCTTATCGATCACGTCTTATATGATAGCCACTTGTACGAAAGTTACATAGTTACATAGTTACCACTATTATGTGAGAAAATATTTTAAAAAAATGTTATACTGACCATTGGCGATACATAATTTGGTTGTGAAGAGGACATAACAAATATTTTGAGTAGAAATCAAAAAATTTTAAATAAAGCACACATAGCATATACTTTTTTACCCGAGTGGGTGGGATCTATTTCCTATATCCCCCCGTGGATCAGCGTATGATATTGACCTAGAAATTATAGAGCTAAGAAATAAATTAGTCCACGTTCTATTTATAATCTCTATGTTTTCATATTTAAAAATCTATGGATGTTACTCATTCAAATGATATATTTCTATTACCATTTTTTGATGGTTTCTTTGAACCAGTTGCATTTTTATATATGAGTTTAGGCCCCTTTTACGAGGCGATTGCTCAATCCGCCTGGCGATTTATAGATTCTAAGCACACACGAATGGGCCAACTCGATTCCCAGTGGTCTTGTTGTTGCGTTATTAATGCTGACATAGCGCTGTTGTTGTGAAATGATTAGCAGCAACATCAGCAGCAACAGCAACTCATCCTGACAGTCCGTTCAGCACATTCCGACATCACTGAAAGCAATAAATACCAACTTAACGCACAAAATGCCAAAGTAAATAGTTAAAGGAAACACAGACCGAGGAATAAAAAAAGGCATGGGTAAATCAAAGAAAAGTACAAAACAATCGAGTGACCAACAGCCAAGTTGAAATGTCGACAAAGGAGCGGAGATCTCGGCGTGCCCTTGCTAAAAACTAATTGTAATTCAAGACGGGGCGATTTTATTATGGGAATTACTACATACAACTGCGAAGACAATGCCATGGGTATGCTCACGTACGAGAGGAGGACCTGTGTGCGAGTTACGAGTTACGAAAAAATCAAAAAAAAAAAACCGAGTAAAAGAGTTGACTTATGCGATTGCCGGTGCCAGCAGCAACATGTTGCTGCCGTCGCTGCTGTCGCTGCGCTCAAATTGAAACACTTCGAGACAAATTGTTATCGTTTAATTTGATCAAACGCACGATCTGCCTGTTGATTTCTCTGTTGTTTTTGCTCCAAGACCAAGTCCCCCTTTTCCTACCCCTTTTTTTCTGAACTGGAGGCCTGGCTTTTATCCGCACATGCGACATAAAGTTGTTGTTGTCCAGGGGAATACCCTTTTCTGAAGTAGAGGATCTCATCAGTTAAGCAAACTAATTGTAGAGACTCGTTTAAATTAAACCCTAATGTGATAGCTGATAAAATATCTTAAGTCCACCCGTGGGCGCCAAAAAAAAGTTTAATAAAAGGCCCCACCGTGGGCGCCACAAACTTTGTACATCAATAAAATAAATATTACTGTTAGTTTTTTTAACTTGTTGACAATACATATATCGAAGCCCAAATAAACTTTGCTTTATTAAAGTACTTTTGACCATGATAATAATGTAAAAGGGTATCTTAAGGCTCGACTTCCTCGCTCTTTTGTTGATCTTCTTGCTGATGTTACGTGATTTCGTATTTGGTAGCAAGGCAACATTCGCCAGACACTTTGCCGGACAAACAAACAAACAAACAAAAGGCGGGGCCAACAAAAGGATGTGTGGCAATGGATGTGGCTGTGGATGTGGATATATGTATGTGCGGATGCCGTCTCCACTTTGGGCCTCGTCTTGATCTTTTTGTTTGCCGCTCGGCAGTTGGGGCTGCTTTTATTGTTGTGTTTTCATTTCAATGTCCATCGCTTTGGCAGGCGAAGATCTTGCCCCAAAGGCGCGCTCTAATCCTTTTATGTTGCTCCAACGCTCGTCCAACTCTCGTCCAGCTCTCGACTGACAAATAGCAGCGCAATTTATTGCATTGCATCGGTAATTATTTGCAATTTATTGTCCCACACACCGTTCCCTTTTCGGAAACCCCGGGGCCCTGCGAACATTTATGATGAAATCGCAATCGCAATCGCAAACGCAATCGCACAATGCCTAAATGGTCAACTGTGTGTGACTGACATTCCCTCGCCCCAGCCTCCCTTTATTTTTATTTTTTGCCCAATCACTCACTTATGCTATGCATTTCCATCTCTCTTTGCAGACAACTGGGGTTATCATCGCCAGGGCTCGTGTCAGGCTGGATTTAGTGCAGCGATCAACGGGGTAAGTACTCAGTGGGTATACCCTTCCGAAATTGGGGTAAATTAACATCCATGCATGGTAGTTTTAAGTGGGTAATGACTATTGTTTTGGAATCACTTAAAACGACTTCTGAAAGTATGCAATGAAAAAATTACGCAGTTGGAAATATATTGCAGCATACTTTTGGACAGCTTCACAAGTGATTATAAAACTTTAGTTATTTTTAAGCATTTAGAGTGGGGTGCCATATACATAGATCATCTTTACTTTTAACTTTACTTATTTTTAAGCATTTAGAGTGGGGTGCCATATACATAGATCATATCGTTATATACTAACCAATTTTTAAACATTCACAAGCTTGCTAAAGAAATTATTTTTAAGAGAAGTCTAACCCCCTATAGATTTTCAATAAATCAAAGAGCATTCCAAGTTCCACTTGCGTTGGGAAGACCAGAATCCGATCTCTAGACCTCCAAAAGGTCCCCTTTTTTCTTCTCTTTTTTTTGGGTTTCATTGAGTTATTATATGCATGGAATGGTTCGGAAAAGACAGACGGATGGACAGACATGGGCACGTTTAGTTGGCACCTCGTTGGGATCGTGGCATAACATTTGCATTCGCAATTGCATCCCCAGCATTCGATTTGACTATTATATACCTACATATGTTTATATATGTGTAACCTTTTTTCTCCCGTTGTAGAATGGATCGCGCTTGTTTATTGGCGCACCTGGCAGTTGGTACTGGCAAGGTAAGTGCACGTTTTTCCCACATGTACCGTGTACCGTTGTTCTACTTCTTATTTATTTATTTATCCGTACCTCAATACCTTTTTGTCTCTTGAGACGAGTTACTTTTACTGTATGTATTTTGAAGTTGTTGTTCTTTCTAGTACCTTTTGTCTCAATGAGACGATCGAAATTTATCCAATGTATTTAGTCATAGCTAGAACTATAAGTAATATCCTTAAACCCTAGACGATCCCAAACGAACACAAGAACACACACCCACACACACGTAGTCTGGTTTGAAATTTGAATTTCGTTATCCCCGTTTTCATTTAGCATTTGTCCTCGTCCTTCCCCCTAGTCCACGAAAATATTGAATTTTGATTGCCTTCCGATGTACAAAATCAAAGTGATTGCATTAACATAGTATCCCCTAGCTTAGTTTATCTTATTTATCTCCTCGTGTGTTTAATTTTTGTTCTCTATTGATAGTCCTTAACTTAAGTTACTTAATAGATACGTAATAAAATGGATACTGTCCGCATAATATGGGTCTAGTTATATGTTTGTATCGTAATACCCGATCCTAATTCCGTTCCTATAAATTAGGAACTCACGTTTCCAGTCTCTAACACTTGATCTGTAGTTCTATGTGGGTCTCATCCAATATGCATCTGTAGAAGATGGCATGCTAGATTTAGCTATAAACTAAGATGTATTTAGAGTGCATGTCGCATTGTAACTTCGTCTAGTCGATAAAAAACTCATAGGTAGATTGTAGAAACATATTTTGTAAGTCAAGGCAATTTTACACAGTGTTTTACAGACAAACTTACCAATATTAAGGTACATTTTGTAAAATTGTTTTTTTAGAAAATATTTTTTAGAACCGATAACCGTGTATTTTACAACGTTGGTATCAACTACAAATAACATTTTGGAAATGGATAAAGTAAAATAAATATTTAAAATTAGGTACAACTTTGTATCCGTTAGATACAGTCGTTAAATGCACAGTTATCGAAAAAGTAGAGTTGACTAAGTTTCATGACGTCAATATATTGTGTTGTCGAGTTGTTGTCTACAAAATCGTTTAACCCCAATCGGCCTAACGTCGCACCATTGTCGCTGCCAAAAGCTAACAATGTTGTACCTTTTGAAATTGTACCCAGTACCTGAGTAAAATTAAAAACAGTTTTTTTGCTAACTCCGATATCATTCACAACTCGACAGCAGGAGTCAGCAATATAACCGTAAATCTTAACTATTGTTAATCGTATCTTAATGTTAATTTAACCCAATCGAAGTTAGCTGCATTTACTGTACTGTATTTGATACAAGATTTTCTACTGTAACTGTAACGTTAACTGTAACTGTAAACGTATCTTTAACTGTAATTGTAACTGTACCTGTACCGTATAACGCGTA